AAACACCTCGATATAGAATTTGGCACCCAAACAAGTGCAGAGATGCAGTAACTATGGTATAAAACTTGGAATCAAAAGAGGTAATAGACAACTTGTATCCTCAATATAGAACCAGGCATCCAAACAGGTAAAGAAGAGAGTGGGATATCATTATATAATATTCCACTACAATAACTTGTTAACCAAGAAGTGATCTGAAACTGGCAAACTAATAGAACCTTTCTGGTTCCCTACCAGTTTTCTGCCAGTGCTATGATAGTTCTAAACACTATCGGGTCACTATTATGGTGCCAAGTTGGATCCTCAAATTATGTGTTCTAAAGATCAGCCAGAATTATACTATAGAGCTGGCCAAAATTAACCATGAATTTACTGCACCATCTGACATGATATTTTTTTTTGTATTTAACAAGCAACAAAATAAGCACAGAAGGGTCCACAAGATATCGTACCTAAAGAGACTATGCAGGTCAGAATAATTTGGCAACCAAGCTGGCATAAGAGCGAACAGGAACTGGCGAACTAATAGAATCTCTTCAGTTCCTCTACTAGTTATCCACTAGTTCTCTTCTAGCTTTATGACACTGACACGGCACTATCATGGTGCCAAGCTGGAACCTAAAATCAAATGCCCAAATATCGGCCAGAATTATAGCATAGTGTCAGCTAAAATTAAACGAAATTTTATCACGAATTTACTATGCCACTAGTCACTTTTTTTATACTATTTCAGGGAACCAAGATAGCCTCCAAACCAGCACTCAAGGCTTCACAAATAAGATAATCAAGACGACCCCCAAACAGATACCCAAGGCTTCGTCAAGATAACCAATATGGCATTCAAACAGGCACAGGGAATGAAGGTAATCTCAATACCAAAAAGGTAACCAAGCCGACCCCAAACCAACCTGCAAGCCTGATATTAAAAATCAACCAACTCGACTTCCAAACCAACACACAAGACCAATATCAAAAACTAACTAACTCAAACTCTAAAAAGCCACAAAGCATCAAAAACATATAAATAGGCAGCAGTATAATCATAAGTAGGTAGTAGTATAATGATAAACAAGTAGCAGTATAATTATAAGTAGGTAGCAGTATAATATAAGTAGAGCAGTCTTATAAAACTGCTCTACTGTTGAGTATGTACTATATCAATATTTTACATCATACAAAGAAAATTAGTTGGACCAAATTCTTTTTAAATTGGCCAATTATATTGAAGCTTATGTGGGAGGAGGGGGGGAAGCCCTTATAGTAAATGGAAATTATGTAATTAATATCAGCGCCCTAATTGTATATTATTATTGTTATTATTATTATTAATTTTTCAAATATAATTGTTGTTATATTCCCTTAATTATTATTATTGTTCCCATTATGTGTGTGTATTATTATTTTTCTTTCTTCTATTTTTTTGTATGTGTTTTAGTGCGGAGGTGGTCGATATTTTCCTCCTTTTCTGTTTCTTTTTTTTTTTTTGTATGTTTGCATGTATGTTTTTCTCCTTTTTTTTTTGTTGTTATTATCGTTCTGATTCTGTGTTTAGTAAAATACTAATTGGGCTGCCCTGCTCCTTCCAAAGTATGGTATGCGAGTCAATCAGTATAAGCTTTTGTAAAGATTGATACTATTGTTGCTGGATGGGTGCATATGTACCTGTAAAATAATTTGGAATCTCATCTGCTAATTTTTTGAATTAGGATAAGCTGGACACCACATGAAACAAGTTTAGTTGTACTACCTGCATAAAAACTGTGGCCAGCTACGTCTTTGTTTCTGCATAATTACTACTTCGAAATATTATACTAATTGCTTTGAAGTATTATTTAGTATATTTATTGCATACTCATGCTAGTATTCAGATTAGAGGCCAAATAAAGCTTTACGCATTTTTATTTCATTTCCAAATTATACATATTACATTTTTTATTTTGAAGATTTGGGAATTTTTATATAAATTTATATTAGTTTCTTCCATATACTATCATGTTGCCTGTACAAAAAAAATCTGGGCCTGATCTCAGCGAAATAAATGAAGCAATTAGGCTCTTCTCAGGGTTAGCGGACCTTGACTATAAGCCTGGCTATCATGATCATACGTATTTCAAATATTTGTCTATTAGTAAAGATGATATCGCTCTTCTAGATGCCTATTATCCCAAGGAGATTTATTCAAAATATATAATCCGAGTATCAGGAAAGGGTTTTATAGTTGTTGATCATCTATCCGAAGTTTATGGGATACCTGATGCTCATGAATACATCGATGAGAGTCTGCCTCTTCGCCTAGTTCTGGACATCGACACGAGACAGTACTTTTTTTTCTTATTTAAATTTGAAAAAAAAATATTAAATCTATCTGTTAAAAAAAAAGAATGAAATGCAAGATTATAATGAGACCGATGCTAAAGCTTTAGCATATACTCAAAGGCGGGAAGGCAGATGCTTAGCAAAAGTTAGTTCTAATACATATTTCTGGGCATGTAAGAAAAATCATCAATGGGAGGCGTCATATAAAAATATAAAACAGAATTACCGATGGTGTAATATTTGCCCTAATGTATCAGAAAGAACATACCGATATATTTTTGAAGATTTATTAAATAAAAAATTTCCGCTTCGAAAATTTAAATTTTTGGAAGGGTTACATCTAGATGGATACAATGAAGAGTTAGGTTTGGCCTTCGAATTTAGTGGTAATCAGTATTACCAAATCGTGCCTTTTTTTCATCCACAAGGACAAATAAATCTAGATGCACAAATTTGGCGTGATTAGAAAAAAAGAGTGTTATGCTATAAAGAAGAAGTAATCCTTATTACAATTCCCTACTGTGTAGTAGACTTAGAAACTTTTATAAGAAGCACCTTGCATGCATTCGGCTTCCTTCCAATAAGAACCATCTAGGAGGAAGTATAGGCTCTTCCTTAATATGCATTAATTGTTCTCTCACAAAAGGACATTGAGGTCCCGAATTATCTAAATAATATAAAACAGGCATCGGGAGATTCTTTCTAACAACAATTCTTCGAATCTTATGAAGGCTAGGCGACCATATAGGGTCTGTTATTCTACGTCGCTCAAAAGAATCATTTTCCCACTCTCCAGAAGCAAGCAGAAATCGAACAGTAGTATTCTTTGGTAGTTGCAGTTCATCAACACCTATTGGACAATTATATTTTACCAATAACTTGGAATATATCTGCTCAAGTTTCATGGCATCATTAGGACTCATTCCAATTAGTCGAGTTGGAGTATCATTCATATTGTCAACAATCTTTCGTGCAAACCTTTTACATTCTCTACAGCGTTTACTAGTAGGTAAAAGAAACTCTATCACATACTGGTTTTTAAAAACCCTTAATTCGAATAATTCAGTATAACGATCGACTATTGCCATGCTTGTATGTCTAAAACATACCTTAATTCTTCGGATATTAACATTATGTTCATCTATTATCAATGTCACGCTTCCTATAAACTCACGATCTTCATCATATTGCAATAGTCGAGGCCAATTAAGAGGGTTGTCAGGATTATCATATTTACTCTTAAATGCTTTTGCAACTTCTTCACTGCTTTTTGACATTAAAAAAACAAAATCTTTATATCTAGTCACACAATCTATAACTAATAATACATAGTAAAATATTGGGTTACCATCTAGTGAATCTGTATTCATGTCATATGGTATTTCGATTAAATCACACTGGTGTATGGTATTTGGCTTCGTGATTTTAGAGTAACTAACATAAGGTATTTGTTTCGGTGAAGGCTGAAAGATTTGATATATTGCTTGACCATCAAGCTATTTTTTTATATTAGTAAATGAAAAGGTATAACCAGCTTTCTTATATGCATTCCATAGTCCTTTTATATTTTGGTAAAGGCCCTCAGGACGATAATATAGCTTCTGTAAGGCAAGATGTCGGTCTAGATCATGAGCTTCTTTAGAATCGATAAAAATAGAAGGCATTTGTTTTGCAATAACTTGATCTAGCTCCCGTGCTCTCTGGGGATTGATATAAATAACTGGTTCCCCCATTCTGATTCTCTTTATAGATTTAGCAATTTCTGGATCAATAGAAAATAAAAAAAAATATGGAGAAATTACAACAAAGTAATTAAGAACTCTACGAGGTAGTATCGCAATTAGCAGAATCAAATAGAAATTTTGAACAATGACTATATATCTTAGAAAGAATTATTGGTATACGGGAAGAAAGAATAAGATTTCTTAAAGAAGAGTTAAATAACACAATTGAAGTTTCTACAGAAGAGAAAGAGGAGTTAAAAAAAGAAATCTCAAAACTAAAAAAAATCGTTCACCAACTCGAGGAAGAAAATAAAAAGAAAGACAAAGAAATTTCAAATAAGGACAAGTTAATATTAGAATTCGATGAACGTAAAACGAAATTAAAAACCCGAATACGAGAAATATCAAAATCAGCTGGAAATATACCCAAAACACAAGATTATACAACCAGATTAGTGGATGAGAATGAACAGCTTAAACGAGAAATAAATATGGTAAGAGCTAATCAAATGAATAGGATTAACAAAATAACTCAACAAAAAAGCCATATTACAGACCTGCTTTGTCAAAATTTTGCATTATCCTTATTAAGATATAGAGATAGATTGGAGCTTATAAATACCAGAGAGGCTTTGCAAAATGCAGAAGCACAGAACTTTAACGAAAATGAATCCAACTCTGATGAGTATTCTTTAGATATTTATAATTTTGATCAAAATTTAGATATGGGTACAATAGCCGAATTAGCCGATGCTATAGACCGCTCCCTAGATGATACAACAATATGTCCAACTATTTTAAAAAATCAAATTAAGAGGGCAACAAGATCAATCTGACGAAAATATGCTAACCTGCAACAGGATTTAGTAAACGAACGATGGAATCATGATATATACAGGCAGGAGCGTAATCAAGCGATGCAGGAGCGTGATCAGTTGTGGACTAATGCTCAGAATCAAGTAAACAGAATATTAGACAATATAACAGAAAAGCGAACCCGTATTTGTGTATTACTACAGGAAAAATTTGCTTTACAAATCTTATATCAACGAAATGCCCCCACCTACAACGATGCAGAGCTGATAGAGGTTTGTTAGAATATAATAGAGACAGACTCTATGAGCGATATGAGAAATGGAAAAATAAGACTCATGCGGAGCGCCAGAATAATTTAATTTTAAATCAACAAATTTTTGTGCTATAGAATAACCCACCTAATATACAACGAATAAGAATGGCAGGAATACCACAACCATTTTTTGACTGGGGTGAAGATATA